CACACACACACACACACACACATACACACACACACTTTACAGCTTCACCACACGCATCGTTGCTCTCGATCGCGGTCTCTCTCTCTCTCTTTCTCTTTCTCTCTCTCTCTCTCACACACTTTATAGTTTGGTCGCTCCGCCTCAAGAGCGCGTCCTTGCCTTGGGGCCTGTCGCTCATTGTGCATGCGTCGTTACACCCCGAGATCGCACCATTGGCCACCCCACACGACGTGAAACATGGCGCTGTCACGCTATTCCCCCGCTGCGTGCGTCGTTGCCACCCATGGCCACACCACGCCGACCGTACCCCGCACCCCGGTACCGGCCCTCTGCCACCCCACACCCACGTACCGCAAAACACTCCACAGGCCCGCGCACGCACCGCACTTTCGCACTCGCACACGGCAGCGCGCTTCCACATTCGTCAACGCCCACCCAGGTCCCGCGGCCTCTGTCGCGCCTGCAGTACCACTGCGAAACACCGCACCCTTATTCCCTTCGCCCGGGCCTCCACGAAACGCCACGCCCAAGTTCCGCGCGCCGCGGCGTCTGTCGTGTTTCCCACCCTTATTCCCTTGCCTCGGGCCTCCACGAAATGCCACGCCCAAGTTCCGCGCGCCGCGGCCTCTGTCACGCCTGCGGTACCGCCGTGAAACGGCGCACCCTTATTCCCTTGCTCCGGACCTCCACGAAACGCCGCGTCCGCTTTCCTTGCCCAAGTCCCACGCGCCTCCACACCGATTTTCGCTGGGCCCGGCGGGAGGCGTCACGCTGGGCCCTTTGCTTGCTTTAAGAGTATAGAGAAGAGAAGGGAGAGTGGGGAGAAAACAAGTAAACCAAAAGAATATCAAAAAGAGACCTTAAAATTGTAATCGTTCCTCAGGATTTGCATGTGAACCATTCACCCACATGGGTTGGGTATGTAATTGCAATTTTTAAACTGTGAGGGAGACGGGGGAGAAAACAAGTAAACAAAATTTTTAAAAAAGAGACTTGTAAAATTGCAAAATTTCTGTGACATGTGGCAATGTAAGGCCTGAGGTCTCAGCGGTGCTCAGAAAGGTTGTGGAAAATGCAGGGCGACCCTGCGTGAAGGCCCACCTGAGAAGAAGTACTGGGCTCGGCTGGGAGCTCAGCCCGGGTAACTACCTGGTTGGCCGTGTCCGGATACCAGGCACGGCAGCCAGGGAGCTACATGGGCTGGAACCGCAACGCGGATGCAGGCTGATAGGGACCACCTACCAGAGGTTCAGACCCTAGCCTACCGTCTTCACCCGAATAGAACGCCTGGTCATTATAGCTGCATTTGACCCAACTTGCAGTCCAGATGCAGCGATAATGACCGAGTGTTCTACTCGGGTGAAGACGGTAGCAAAAGATAAAAGTAAGGAGGCCAAGCAGGCAGGACATTCGGGCAGTGGCAGCATGCAGCCACACAGGTGCAGAGCGTGCAGCCAGACAAGTGCCTGGGAGGGTAAGGCAGCAGAGCAGCTGGGAGGAGATGGCAATTGAAGGAGGGGATCAGGGAAGGAGGAACACAGTGGGGATTGGCGGATACTTACCTGCTGTTGGCTGAGGAGCACCTCCTGTGATCAGACTCTTCACGGACATCTGGCGAGAGAAGAGTGGAGAGAGTGTGAGAGGTTGTGGGCTAGTATGAGTAGGAGAGTAGGAGAGTAGTGTCGACGGACATCTCAAACTTTCAAATTCTATGTAAATTTCCATATTCCCAGCACGTGCTGCTCCGCACGAATAGACGGGAGCCTTGTCCCCTTAAAAAAAAAAAAAAAAAAAAAAAGTGTAGGCAGACACAGCACAGTAGGGCTCTCTTCATTGCCGTTGTATTGTTTATTGGAGGGGCAAAGTGCAATCAGACTCGGCTTATTCACACTTCATCATGCATGCAAACAGCGATACAGCAACTGGCGACATGCGCCCACACAGTACTCAAAGATATCGTGACCAGATAAGAGTTCTCTTCAAACTGGCTATGGCGACTGTGCGCCCACACAACTCACTGTTCGCACTCTGGATCACCCTGGATGTCCCACACGCAACACTCTGTATTCACACGCAACACACACACACACTACTACAGCTATGGCAGCGCTAGCTGCCACTACCCTAGCGCTATACTACACTCCTCTGCCCACTTCGTCTTCGGGCACACTGCAGACCTCCTCGCACAAGCTGCTGAGGCAACGCTTCCGCATGGCATCCGCAGGAATGAATGAATGGCTGGACGCAGCCTCTTGATTTTTACTTCTGTGCGGCGTTGGCCTGCCCTGTATCCCTTGGCCCACGATGTGCACAGTCCCAGACGGTACTTGCTTGACTGGACCGGACTGGGCTACCTGGGACTGCTGACTCTGCRTAGTGGACCTACACCACTTGCCCACTTGCCTCGGCCTAAACAGGGGCTGACTCCGAAAGGCCAGTTCTAGAAACTTCTACTTTGGCCTTTCGGTACTGTAGCAGCTACGACTTTGCCCTTCCAGGTAAGTAGCAGCTACGACCTTGACCCTTCAGACATCCTACAGCTACGACTTCGGAACTGTCTAGACTCCTACCCTACAGATCTACAGTTCGATTCTCTTCTAAGCTGTGACCTACGACAATCTACCTACCACTGGCGTTTCGACAGGTCGCAGGTTCAAATCTACGGGTTGTCATCAATACTGTACACAG